CAGCGGGGCGGCCTGGGCTGGTGAGGTAACCTGATCGATGGCACGGCTGTGGCTGGAGTCCTGGGTGGTGGGGGCAGCAGGTGGCAAATTGCAAAGCTTGTACTCAGCAGTGGCAGGAAGAGGCTTAAACTGGGGCATTGCAACCAGAACGGGAAAACAAGCAGGGATGGTCAAGGCCCTCCACAGGCCGGCCCGGCCCAGCGGCGGCCAGCCCGGATCACACCCCGGCTCTCTGTCTCCCCCAGAGATGGCTGTGCAGTCGACATTTGAGCCCTGCCCCACTCCAGGGTCAGTGAGTGGCATGCGTGTCTCTGGGGGAAAGGGTGAGCCACCTTAGGGTGCAAGGAGGGGATTCCTGAGGCACCTACGACCAGTTGGGCCAACCGCCTAAGGGTCTCCAAGCCCTCAGCAGACTGAAAGGCAAAGGCAGCCCCCATTCTCCTCCCTCACCTCCTGCTTCCCTACCTGAGCACTCTGCCAAGAGGTGAACAGCAGGGTCCCGGGCAGGACAGAGCCCCCATTCCCGCTGCAAGCATTTACTGCACACTTTCCACGTGCTGCTCCCTATGCTGGGCACTGAGGAGGCCATGGGCTGGACGTGACACTGAGGGCGGCATCAGCCTCCCGCAGCTGTTTAACAGGGCAGAGCCACACCAGGGTACAGGGCAGAGAGTTCCCAATCAGAGCGGGGTTTGCTTCCAGCTTTGCTGCACGCTAGCTGTGTGAAGCTGGGCGAGTCGCTCCACCTCTCTAGGCCTCGGTTTGCTCATCTGTAAAATGAGGCCAACACCCTAACCAGACACCAGAACGAGCAGCAGTGTGGGCAAGGGCCTGTGATGCCTGGGGTCCTAACTCTCTCCAGCCCACTCCCAGCTCCATGTCCAGCTCTGGCACCCAGCGCTTCCCAGGCAAGACCCTGGGATCTGGAAGAGCCAGGACGGGGGCAGGACTGTGCCTCCTGTGGCATGGGACAGCTGTTGGGCCAGATGAAGGCAGGGGCTGGGGGTGGTGGGCATTGGTGCCAGCGTGGGGGCAGGGACACTCCTTGGTGGAAGAGGTTTCTCAGCTTCTTCCTGGAAGCTATCCCAATGACTCACGGTCACGGCAGCCCGGCAGCTTACCCTTAAATCCCTACTACTGTTATTTCAGCCCGTCTCCCCTCGTTGACTTCTGAGCCTAGGGGAGGGAGGTGGGTGGCTCCTCTAGTCCATCTCATTCCTCCTTCAATGGCAGGGGCTCCATCCATCAGCCTGGCATGGGGCCAGGAGGCCTTTGAGGCTTGGACCCGCCATCCCAGTCTGTAGAAGGAGGACCACCAATTCTGACAGTGGGAAAGGCCACACAGACCCACTAGTTCATTGAACCCATGGGAGACAGGCTCCGATGAGGACAGGGACTTGCCCAAGGTCGCAAGGGTTGGTGGCTCAGCCAGACATCCCCAGCCTGTTCCTCCTGCCCAGAGAACCCCTGCCCTTGAGCACCTCCCTTCATCAGAAGCCAGGACCCAGCACAGCTGGACCTGGCCCGTTGGCTGGCTGCAGAGGGAACAGAGGCTGAGATGGGGACAAGCCAGCTCTGTGCCCGCATGTCACAGAGGGAATCGGGCCCGCTCCCCTTCTCCAAGAGGCCAACCCTGGGTCTGAGCAGGAAAGGATCCAACCTCAAGCCCAACTCCTTGTCCCCTCACCCCTGGCCTCCCAAACGTGAACCTGGCCCATGGCCAGTAGCTGGGCTCTTGGCGCCCCCTGCAGGCCAAGAGAGCCAGGTGGGACTAGCTCCATAGGGGACCCCTTCCCTCAGCTGGCGGAGGCAGGGGGACCCCGCAGGCAAGGCTGAGGAGCCAAGTGGGGCCCCTCGCCTTCCAGGTGCACCTTCTCCCTGCCCGTCAGCCATCTTCCCGCCCTTGTCTCCCCTCTGAAAGGCTCAGGCTTCCGCCCTGACACTACCAGTCTCTGTATCCCCTAGGCAGGACCTAGTAGAGAAGTCAGGGAGGCCCCCGGGAGGCACGGATCGAGGGGAGCGTGAGGGGAGGTTAGACTGCCTGAGACCACCCACCAGAGAAGGGGGAGATCCTCAGAGTTAGGGCTCACCTACCATGTGTCCAGTGAGACCAGGTGCACCGGCCACATCAGATCGTGTTAATTTCTCACAGTAGCTTCTAGGATAGGAACAATTATCTCTGTTTCTAGATAAAGAAAGCCATACTCAGACAGGCCGCACAGCCAGGGGGCTGATGCAGCAGAGAGGAGGAGAGGGGGTCCCAGAATCAGATCTCCCTCAGGCTTAGAAGGAAACATCACCAGTGGTTACCCAAGAGCTTCTCCTAACATGCTCTCCAGGCCAGGCCCAGCCTGGTTCACAGCTGCTCCTGGAAACGTGTTAGAAGCCCAGATGCCCACCAAGCCTCACCTGGAGTGAGGCCCAGACACCTGGGCTTTCAACAAACTCCACAAATGTTTTGATGCACAGCCAGATTTGAGAACCATCACGCTGGTCCAACCCACAGGCCTAACAAATAAAATCCCACTGCTTGCACACCTCCGGGGATAGAGAGCTCGGCATCCACCAGGCAGCCCACCAACTGCACCATGGCCACATCCTTGGGTTGAATGAACCCAGCTCCCAGCAGCTTCTGCCCACTGGTGTCAGTTCTAGTCTTTGAGCCGCATAAAAGAACATTGTCTCTACCAAAGGCTTTGAAGTCAGGCAAAGCCAGGTTCAAGTCCTGGCTCCACGTCTTACTAGCTGTGTGACCTTGTGCACAAGGCAAATTACTTAACCTGTCTGTGCCTCAGTTTCCTCCTCTATAAAGTGGGGGTTCATTGGCATGCTGAGAGGAGAAATGCAATAATGTCAGTAAAGTACGTAGCCCCGTCCTGACAAAGTTCCATAACAGTTGGCTATTCTTATTATCATCATCATAAAAATTTCCCCTATTTAATTTTCTGTGTACTTGTCTATTGGGGCAACATTCATTCATTCCTTCATGCAGCAAAAAGATGTGGAGTTCCTCGGGCCCCGTGTCAGACCATCTTTCACATACAGGATCCCTTTTGCTCTGACAACAGGCCCCTGACTTAGCCAAAACCAGTGGTATCTTCCCCACATTACAGATGAGAAAACTCTCCCAGAGAGCAGTGACCTTCCCCCTTGATCCTTCTTCAGACAAGAAATGTGTGCAGCTTCATTTATAGGATGCAGTGGCATCTTCACCTCCCCCAGACCCAGTTTGCTGGCCAAGCCCCTGGGGGGTTGGGGTGCTGGTTCACTGTAGAATTGGGGTCAGCAGGACACTCGCTCTCTTTTGTTCAGAGCCCCTGATCTGTGTGGCTGAGGCTGAGAGTAAAGTTTCCTCAGGGAGGCGGTAGGAGGGCCCCTTTCCCTCTCTGTGCTCACCTGTAAAATGAGGGGTCTGGACCAGATCACCTGTCAGGGAAGACCGCTGAAGTCTGTGATTCTCTGCACTCTGCTGCTCCTCCAAGAACCCGGAAGGCAGCCCCAGGCAGCCCTGCCCTGGGAGGTGAGCAGATGCATCCCCCTCTAAATAGGTGGGAGGGGAGGCAGGGGAAGGATAGGAGTCACCACTCAGCTCTCCTCCCACCATTAGGCTGCCACTTGTGCACCTACTACGTGCACTTGGCCCTGGCCAGGGACACTGGAGGGATGGGGAAAGGTGGCTGACAGACAGTGATTGGAGCACAAGTTGTGGGGTCTTCCAGACCTGGGCTCCAATCCAGGTCTGCCCTTACAAGCCAGGTGACCTTGAGCCAGTCACTTCACCCCTCTGAAACATACCCAGCACTTAGTAGGTGCTCAGTCAATGCCCACCTCCTTCACTTGAGAGAGGGACTGCTTCTTCATCACAGGGCCTTCCCCCGGCTCTGCTCCCATCCCGATGAGCGTTTTGTATCTTGCTCCGGGCCGCCTTGCCTCCTGGTCCAGATCACAAAGTGTCCATCCTTAGACAGGGCAGAGCCTTCCCAGGCCTCTCAACCTGCCGTGGAGGAGGAAGCATTTGAAGGGGTTTGAAAGAAGCTTGGCTCTGGCACTTGCTATCTGTGTCACCTTGGGCACATCACCTTCTCAGCCTTCATTTTGGAATCCATAAAATGGGCATAATAATTATCACTTCACAGATTTGGGGTGAGGATGCAACAAGGTGAAGTGCCTGCCACCATGCATGGCACACAGTGGGTGTTCGATGAACAGTGTTGCTCACTCCTGTCCTCCGCTGAAATGGATGCATTAAAGCCCCTTCTCCCCACATGTGCCTGGTCCCAGAGCACCTTGACATAAATTGTCTCATCTAGACTGTGATCATCAGCATGACCCTACGAGGTGAGCCAGCATTGGTGCCCCATTTTCAGGCTATAAAAACTAGGGGCTGAGGGAGGGGAGAACATGGCACACTTTGTTTTTGAAGCCTGCCTCCCCCGCCACCACCAGTGTGCTGACCATCCCTAGTCCCCCAGCCCTTCACTGCCCTCATTATCCCACCTCCAAGGGCTGCAGCACTGACACTGGTCTCCATCTGTGGCCCTGGGATGTGGCTGGCAGTGAGGATCTTAGCCTTATAGCCAGAAGGTGGGCTTAGGTCACTGGGGTCCCGGCCTGGGAGTGGGGAAAGAGAGACACCAGGGCAGACAGTGGCTCCAGCCTCCTAGCTAGAGGGACCCCCCCTCAACATGAAGGGGTCAGAGTCAGGGCCTGGGTCTGGGGTAACATCAGGGCACAGACGCTGGTGCAGGAGGGATCCCGCAGAGACTCTGTCACCTTCCCTCCCAGTGCTCTGCCTGCTTTGGCTGACTCGAGGCGGAGGCCTTCTTGTGCAAGACAGCACTCCCCTCTCCAGCCCTGAGAGCCTGGCAAGAGTGCCTGTCACTGGATCCAGAGAAGTGGACCACCAGGACCCATCTCTGGGACAAGTCAATTCCCAGAGACCTGGGGTAGGCAGGGCCTCATCCTGGGAGTGGAAAGCGGAGGGAAGGTGCCCTGCACCGCACTCCACCCCCACCATCCTCTCTGCAGGTACCTGGCCAAGCTGTCATCCGTGGGGAGCATCTCCGAGGAGGAGACCTGTGAGAAGCTCAAGGGTCTGATTCAGAGGCAGGTGCAGATGTGCAAGCGGAACCTGGAGGTGATGGACTCGGTGCGCCGTGGCGCCCAGCTGGCCATCGAGGAGTGCCAGTATCAGTTCCGGAACCGGCGCTGGAACTGCTCCACGCTCGACTCCCTGCCTGTCTTCGGCAAGGTGGTGACGCAAGGTGAGGGAGGGGATCCTGGGGGGGCACTGGGGGAGTCAGCGGTGCCGGGGTGTGGGCCCCGGGCGAGGGGACCCCGGAAGAGGCCACGTTTCCTTGGGTGGGAATCATATGCTCTTGAGTAGCCGGACTATTCTGTCACTTATCAAGTGAAAACAGCACCCTGCTCAGGCAAGGGCATAAAGAATGCAGATGGGGGCACGGGGAGAGGGGCAGCATCCGGGTGGGCAGAGTCTGGGTGGGAGGGCCAGCAGAGGGGATGCCGTTCTTTGTGCTGAGCAGCACTCTGCAGTGTGCAGTGTTTCCACACTGGAGCTTCCACTCCTGTTTGACAGAGGAAGAAACCGAGGCTCAGGCAGGGGAAAGGATGGAGTGGCCAGAGCTCCTCAGAGGGTGGGCAGCAGAATCAGAATCCAGACCTGACACTCCAGACCCCCAGCCCCATGCTGTTTCCAACTTAGCACTTCACCTCCTGTACGCAAGTCCATCTCATCCGTCTGTACCTTTTAACGAACCACATTAAGAGGCTCACCAAGCCCAGCAGACCTGGGAAGAGCAGCACCCAGCTCCTCCCCTCCTGGGCTCACAGTCAAGCCAACAGCTACCGCTCAGTAGGAGTAGCGGCTCACACACTCATAGCACTAACTAGGGACCAGGCACTGTTTCAAGTGTTATAAGTAATATTAACTCATCTGGCCCTTGCAGATAGGCCTCCATATTGCAGATGAAGAAACTGAGGCACACAGAGAGGTTAAGTAACTTGCCCAAGGTCACAGAACTAGAAGGTGGCAGAGCCAGGACCTGAGCCCATGCAATCCAGCTCCAGGGTCTTGCTCTTGCCTGCGACAAGAAAATGCTGTGAGGGAGGGGTCACAGGAGCCTTGGGAGCACAGGGGTGGACCCCTCCCCTGGTCAGGCTGGGTGCTCAGAGAAAGCTTTCCCGGGGAGGTAGGCTCGCAGCTGAGACCAGAAATATGAGAAGGCATTAAGCCAGAGGAAGGTGGGCCGGGGCCTAGAAAATGTTCCGTACAACTGGAAGGCTCCTTGAGAGGTCACTGGGTCAAGCCGCTGCCCTCGAGGAAGTGCTCTGAACCAGCTGCCCTCTTTCTACTTCCTGAGCATGAAACTGACACTCCCGAGCCACCAGCAGTCGACAGGGCCTTTTGACTTGCTCAGGCAGCAGGAAGGCATTGCCTGGGCCAACCTTTGTCTTGGCACCTGTGGTCCTGGACGGCTACAGCTGCTGGGCTTGTGGCAAACCGTTGCATGTTGTTGGAAACCAGCTGTGATAGAAATTTGGAAGCCATTCTCCTGGAAGTTGGCAGAGGCCAAAAAGGAACAATCATGCTTGGCATTACTGAACATCGCTGCTCCAGAGAAGCAGCAGAGACCCAGTGAGCGGCCTGGGAGCAGAGACTCCCCCGGGACGATGCTGCCACTGCTGAGGGCCCAAGGCTGCCTTGTTTGGTGACGCCCAGACACTAGGCTCAAGCAACAGACCCTGAGCACGGGAAGCCCCTCGCACACAGTAGGTGTTCGATGTGTTGGATGGACTGGTGGATAGATCAGCAGGGTTTCATGCACCAGGCCCTTTCACACCCCCATGTCTTTGCACGTGCTTGTTCTTCTACCCCAAATACCCAACCCTCTTTCTCCACCAGCTCAGCGGTTCCCTCCTCCAGTTTCCCAGCTCCTGCACGTTGGTGGTTGCTTTTTCCTCTGGGTTCCTAAGCTCTTTGTTCATGCTGGGGGTTTTCCCCCTTTTCTGGTAATTTTTTGTTTTGATATAATTTCAAACTTATAGAAAAGTTGCAAAAATAGTACAAGGAATTCCCATACACTCTTTTTTTCATCTCAAGGTGATGGGTTTATTCAGTCTGCTACTTTTGTTTTCTTCTTTTTTTTACTGAGCTATAATTGACATTCATTGTATTAGTTTCAGGTGTACAATATAATGATTCTATATTTGTATATATTACAAAATGGTCACCATAATAAGTCTAGTTAACATCCATTACCACACATAGCTACAAAATTTTTTTTCTTGTGATGAGAACTTTTAAGGTCTACTCTCTTGGCAACTTTCAAATATGCAGTACAGTATTGTTAACTGTAGTCACCATGCTGTACGTTACAGCCCCAGGACTTATTTATTTTATAACTGGAAGTTTGTACCTTTTGACCCCTTCACCCATTTCGCCCATCCCCACCCCCCACCTCTGGCAACCACCAGTCTGTTCTCTGTATCTATGAGCTCAGTTTTTCCTATGAGGAATTCCCATATACTCTTTACCTAGATTCACCAACTGTTTACATTTTAACCCATTTGCCTTATCAATTTCTCTCTCTCCCTCTCTCTCTCCACCTTAATACATGCACACACACACACACGCACTTTGTCTACACCATTTGTGTTCACGGCTTTCATTACACCTTTTAGACTGAACTGTGATGCCTCTTTCCTTAAACCTTGAATTCTTCCAAGGCAAGGGTGATGTCTCGTTTACCTGTCTCCCAGCACATGGCAGAGCCTGGCATGGAGAAGACAGTCAATGGATGTCATCCAATGACAGAAGGCAAGGCAGGGCAAGGACTCAAAGGGGCAAAGAGGGGCAGGCATGGGTCAGTGCTGGCCTGAAGTCGGTGAGGGACCTGGTCGAGAAGTGCCTTCCTCACCTGTGTTTGCAGCAGGACCCAAGGAGGGGGCCCAGCCCTGGCTCAGCAAGTTCTGGGAGACACTGAGAATCCTACCGGGCTTGGCCAGAACCTGCTCCAGACTGCAGTCTGAGTGGCTTGGTCAAGCGTCCAGGGCCCTCAGAGCTGAGTCAAGGTACCCTCACACCAGGCCAGCCATACCAGGCAGACGTCAGTCGTGTTTGGAGGAAGAGTCTGAGCTCTCCCCATCCATCCATCTCCTCACTTTTGTATTTTTCGTTTTCCTCTTGAAAAAGTCTTAATTTGTCTCCAGTGAACAAGAGGAGAAGGGCCTTGTCCATCCCGAGGCCTGAGGGCACAGTGCTGCTCTCAGAAAGCCCCGGGGTTGATGAGGCAGCTGGAGGGAGAGCACGGCGAGCGTGACCTTGGGCGAGTGACCTCACTCCCCTGAGCCACGGCGTCCTCACCTGTGAGGTAGACCAGCACATACGCGTGCTCACCTTACAGGGTGGTCGAGAAGATTCAGTGACATGCGTGGCAGCACTCAGACTCCAGAAGAGCCGTCTGTCATCACCAGGGGCTGTCGTTTTTGGTGGCAGCAGCAGCAGCCAGTCCAGGCAGGCCTCTCTCACAGCCCCCAGCTTTGGGGGTTAGGGGGCTTGGCCGGTGCTCAATTCATGAGCTGCCTGGCTGGGGTCATGACCTCAGACATGGAAAGGTCATAGCTAACAGATCCTCCCCAGGAGCCAGGCCATACATGGAGAAGAAAAGGAGCCCCCATTTGTTGAGGGTCTCCTGTGTGCTGTCTGGCTTCAGATCACCCTCCCGACAACTCTGTGTGTGTGGTATTGTTCCCATTTTACAGATGAGAAAAGAGACTCAGCAAGCAGAGGGTGGTGACACACCCAGATCCAGGACCTGCCAACTCCTGGCTATGAGATCTCGGGCAAGTTCCATCCTGTCTCCTAGCCTCAGCATCCTCCTCCCTGTAAAGTGGGGACAGGCACCAGCCTCCGGGGATTCCCGTCAGAATTCAGAGAGATGATGCCTCTGAAGGGCTAACTGACTCCCCCAGAGACCCCTAGGGATGGGGGCAGCTCTCTTCCCACCAGCATTGCCCGGGGTCTCACAGTCTCCACCCGCAAGTAGTGGAGGCCACCCTGTTCCTGGCCTACTGAGGCAAGACAGATGGTGAAATAATGGTGACCCATGAAGACAATGTGTAAGTTAGGGCCAAACTGTGTGCTCTAGGCTGAAAGTCTACCAGAAATTTGGTAAAATTGGCGTCTGTGGCAGTGTCTGTGCGTGTTAGTCCCTGCTGGATCCCAGTGCAGAGCAGAGCCTGCACCTAGGAGGTAACTGGTGAATACTTGCTGAATGACCGGAAAGGGTCTGAGGGCGGGAGGGAGAGGCCGTAGACCCTGGCGAAGGTTTAGCTTGCCGGGAGCAGGTTGTGCTGGGTCTCAGAGCGGGCTGGCCTGAGCAGGACGGGGAGCCAGGAAAGGCAACCCAGACTCCTTTTTTCCTGCTTCCCTCCTTCTGTAGACAACACCAGGCCTCTCCTGCCTCTTCACATCTGCCTCTGTGACCCTGTCCCGAGAGGGCACTCCATGAGCCCTCAGGCCTGTTTGGGCTCTGGCTGCCACGGGTGGGAGGCGATGTGGTGCATTGGCTATAGCAAGGTGAAGATTCAACCTGGGCCCGTCTTTCCACTCCCCGTGTCTAACATCTAGGACACCTCACTGACCGTAACATCAAGCGGGATTGGAGAAGGGAATGCTCCTCAGTCCTGGGCTATGACTCCCTTCTCAGCTTTGTCCTCAATGTTGGCATCACACTGGACCCAGTGAGGGTGAGAACATGCCTTCCTTCACGGCAACCTCTTGGGCCAGCCTTTGGTGCCATCAGATAACTCACAGCAGGTGTGAGAGGGGTACCCCCAGAGACGCTCTGCCACTGGGAGTTCCTTGAGGACACACTCACCTCAGTGTCCCCAGTGCACAGCATAGGGCCTAGCTCACAGCAGGCAATCAATAAATGTTTGGCGAGGGCCGGGCCCAGTGATGTAGTGGTTAAGTTCGTGTGCTCCGCTTCGGCGGTCCATGGTTCACGGGTTCAGATCCCGGGCGCAGACCGACGCACCACTCATCAAGCCATGCTGTAGCGGCGTCCCACATATACTAGAGGAAGATGGGCATGGATGTTAGCCCAGGGCCAGTCTTCCTCAGCAAAAAGAGGAGGATTGGCAACAGATGTTAGCTCAGGGCTAATCTGCCTCAAAAAAAAATAATAATAATTTAAAAAAATAAAAATAAAAAATGTTTGGCGAGGGAGCAGCAAGAGAGGAGGCCTCTGCCCTAAGGAAGCTTTAGCCCAATGGCAACACGTGGTCAACTGACTAGCCCTGAGTCAGTGCCCCACCGATATTTGTTAGCGAATGAATAAGATGGCATTAATCACCCAGCGATAACACTCACAACACTACTTCTCGAGCGCCTGCTGTGTGCCGGAGACTGCACGGAGCACTTCCTGTAGTCTACCCATTAGATTGTCAGAACTACCTGATGAGGTCAGGACACTGATCAGCCCCACTCTATGGACAAGAAAACTGAAATCATCCCTCTAGGAAGTGGCCGAGCAAGGACTGGATCTCAGGCCTGCCTGGCTGAGTGTCCATGCTCTTCCCCAAAAGCCAACCCTGTCTCCAAGTAGCTGTGAGGGGCCTGCTCCGTGCCCAGCCCTGCCCTGGGTGCTAGGGGGAGAGGAGATGGGTGACAGAGAGCCTGGCCCCAGGGGCTTCCAGGCGGGCTGCAGAGGCCAGACAAACACACAAGACACTCAGAAGATAAAACTGTTTTCGGCCCAATTCTGACTGCGTGTGGCAGGCAGGCCAGCGAGAGTGCTGGCGTCCCGGAGGTCCGTGACAGTGGGAGGGGATGCAGGAGGAGTGCTAGGGGCTGGCCTGCCAGGCAGCGTTGTTATCCCCATGTTAGAGTTGGGAAAATGAGGCTCAGAAAGGAAGGTCCCACCACTGCTAAGAGTCTTACAGTTTTGTCCAGCTCCAAAGCCTTTACTGTTTGCCCTGTCCCCCTGTCTCTTAAATCCAAAGAGGCTTCCCAGAGGTGGTTTCAAGAAAAGGTGAGCTTTTGCAGATAAGAGAGCAAAGGAGACTGGAAAGGCAGACTAGGGGCAGGGATGAGACAGGACAGGGAACAATGTCTTTCTCAGAGACCAGAGCCGGACAATGTCTTTCTCAGAGACCAGAGCCTGTCCTGCCCCTTCCACCAGGACTCCTGCTGGGTCTGCTTTGGAAACACGGGAGTTCTGCTTGGAATGACACTTTCATCAGACACCCGCCAGGTGCCCAGAGGATCACTGTGCCCATGGCTGCCTTTCCAGCCGAACTCAGCCTCAGCTGGTCCTCCCCAAACACGCCTTCCTGCTCAAATGTCCTTCCTTCCAACATCTGGGAGAGACATCGTGCGTGATGGGCTCAGAAGAGCACGGGCCTGGAGTCAGACAGGCCTCGGTTCCAATTCCCACTTGGCCACTGACTGGCTGAGGGACCCCAGACAAGCCCCCAAGCCTCACGTCTTCTTCCATAGAGCAGAGCTAGAGAAAGCTGGTTGCTAAGGTGGTCAGGAGCCTTAGATGCCATATGGAGATGCCCTGGCATATCGTAGGCCCTCAGAAAGGGTAGCTATTACTGGATCCACAGGACAACTCTGAATTCCGAGCCCCAGGCAGCCTTAGCATTTTGGAAAAGAGGGCATTGAGGCAGGACTGAGAGGACACACAGGATTTAGACCAGCGGAGCCAGGGAAGGAGGTGCTCTGGGAAGAAGAAAGAGCAGGAAGAAAGGAGTTGGGTGTGGGATGGGTAAATGGCTTTATGGAAAAGGTAGAAGGTTGTAAGGCAGCTGCTGGCACCTTAGCAAGTTCTGCCTTACCCTGGGCCAGCTCTGCTGTCCCACAAGGACAAAGCCAGAAATGTCTTCCCCCTGCAGCTAGAACAGGCAAATCCCCTGACCCGGGAGCAGTTATCCACCGCATTGCTGGGGAACTCCCCTCTGCTACACTTGCAGGCGCACCACAATCCTTTTTCTGCATCTCACAGTCTCCACCAGATGCCCAGGGAACAAGGTTCCAGCCTGGGCACCTCAGCAGAGAGGAGGAGCCGGGAGAAGCCACAGCATTGAAGTCAAAATGCTGGGACCCAGAGCCAGTTAGAAAAGGCTGGAGAAGTCGCTGCCATCGGCTTTAGGGGCACGGTGGCTTGGCCACGTTCTCCAGGCCTTCTGGGGCCTCATGTGCTGAGCACAGACCAACTGCTCACCATCCCCCAGTAAAGAACCCACAAAGGGAACTGGACTTGTTGTACAGCACGTGAGATTTAGGAAGCCCCTCTTGGCTTCACACACGTGTACTCCGGGGAGCTCCGGGCTCTGGGAGGCAGGATAATGTCAAGGTTGAAAGCTCTGGAGCCAGGCTGCCTGAGTTCAAATTTGGGCTCCATCACTTGCTGGCTGGGTGTTATTGGTCAGGTTGCTTCACCACTCAGTCCCTCAGTTTCCTCATCTGTAAAATGAGGATTGAAAGTCTCTACTCCATAGGGTTGTTGTGAAGAGTATATAAATTACGTAAAGTGCTTAGACAGTGCCCAGCACAGGGTAAGCCCTCTATAAGCTTTAGCTCTCATTACTATTATCTTTATTCCAGAATCTTGTCCATTAGGCCTGCTCCCAAGCTGAGAAAACCATAGCATCCTTGTTCCCAAGGCCAGGGCAAGGGGGACCTGGAGTCCTGGCCAATGGACGTTGGTTTGGGGAATGAGGCAGAGGTCTCCCTGAGCAACCTCACAGGGAGCCCTGCACCCGAGGGCTACTAGCACTCAGGGAGGAGGTGAGCCCAGAGCTTGGGGTGGGCCGGGGGCTGCCTGAGAGCCCAGAGAGGCAGAGGAGAAAGGACCATGCCAGGCCAAGAGCTGGGGCTGCCCCACCAGTCCCATCCGCCCTATCTCCTGCTTTCCCTTCCCCCTTGGTCTTTGGGGCAAAGATTTGTGCTGGTTCAGGCCTGGAAATACCAGAAATACCAGAAACTAAAGTCGTCTCTCTTGGGCGGCCACAGCACAAAACCAACCAACATGATCCTGCTATTAACCTCGATTAACTTGGAGAGGATTCCATCTCAGGCCCCCGTGGCTGCAGCCAAGCCCCCTGATGCTGGCCCAAAATGGCCAGGCCAGGGCAGAGGGTGGGCAGTGGAGAGTGGGTGGTGGGTAGTATCCCCAGCTCAAGGGCTGAACCAAGAACAGGGCGTCCTGAGCCATCGGGACCTGAGCTGCCCCCCACCCCAGTACTCAGCTTCTGCTGCCTGTCCACAGACACAGGCACAGAGGAGGTGATTGTTTCCATCTGACCACGGCGACTGCTCCCCAGGGCGGTCGAGAGCACAGGCCTGGGTGTCGCAGAGGTAATTGCCAACCACGGGGCCAAAACCTGCCCCCTCCACTCCTGCGGACACAGACACTCCAGCAAGAGACAGAAGGACAGTCACGGGCACACAGAGGCCCTCACAGGGCCCAAGAGAGGAGCAGGACCTGTCTGGTCACACACCCAGCCAGCCACGCGCACACGCACTACACACACACACATACAAGCACGCACACACACATTCCCTCCCACCACCCACACCCCCAGAAAGAGGCCCCACAGCAGCTACACCCCCTGAGGCACAGTTCCTAAGAGGATAAAAACACCCATTCAGGCAGGGGACGAGGGCAGGCACCAAAATAGAACCACTGAGCAGTCACGGGGCGGAAGGGAAGGAACAGGCGGCAGAGGCGGGCAGACCTGTGCTTGAGCCCCGGTTCTGTCACTTCCTGACTGGGTGACTGGGACCAGATCCCTTCCCCTCCTCAAACCTGCACTGTGCCATCTGTGAAATGGGCACAGGTGAAGCTCCCGGAGGCAGAGGGCACCCCCCCCATCAGCAGTGGTGGTAAGCAGTGGGGGCCGATGTTAACGATTTACTCTGAAAGGTTTAAGGAAGCAAGATGGTCTCAAAAACGGGCCCAGCCTCAGCAGGAAGAGCTGGGGCAGGACCACAGGGTCGGGGCCCAGGGCCAGCTGGGGAATAGGCACAAAAAGGACACAGGTTTGAGAGGAAGCCAGACCTGGGTTGACAGTCTAGCTCTGCTCCTTCACAGCTCCTAGTCTTGGTAAGTCAATTCACCTCTCCGAGCCCGTCTTGTCTCCCACAAAAGGACGTTAACATCACTAATCTTCTGGAGAGGTTGTGAGAACAGTATCCCACAGGAGCCAAGAGCCCTGCAGCTGGGCCGCCTACCTGTTCAACCACGTACTGTGTGACCTGGGACAAGCTGACTAATCTCTCTGTAAAGTGGGGACGATAATGGGACTTAGCTCATGGGGAGCCATGGGGATGACACGATCAGCACGTGTGAAGACGTTAGGGCAGTGACTGGCAGGTAGGCAGTGCAGCCGTTGGTATGGTGAGACTAAGCACCAGCATGGTACCTCCTGGCCCACAGGGTTGCCTGCCTCGCTCTCTCATGGGCCTCCATCGCTCAGGAGGCACCGTACACACCTTCCCCTAGAAAAGGAGGGTGCGGGGGAGGCGCACTGGGACCCAGCCCTGCCCTCCCTCTGCCTCCCACAGGGACTCGGGAGGCGGCCTTCGTGTACGCCATCTCTTCAGCAGGTGTGGCCTTTGCGGTGACACGGGCGTGCAGCAGTGGGGAGCTGGAAAAGTGTGGCTGTGACCGGACGGTGCATGGGGTCAGCCCGCAGGGTAAGTGCAGGAGGTGGGGAGGGAGTGGGGGGAGGGCAGGGGCCTGGGCCCAGGCCCTTGCTCACCCGTGGACCCCATGCCCACTGCACCCCAGGCTTCCAGTGGTCAGGATGCTCAGACAACATCGCCTACGGCGTGGCCTTCTCACAGTCGTTCGTGGATGTGCGGGAGAGAAGCAAGGGAGCCTCGTCCAGCCGGGCCCTCATGAACCTCCACAACAACGAAGCTGGCAGGAAGGTAGTGAGGCTCATCCCCTCCACGTCACCACCGGGGCAGGGGTGGGCTCGCCGAGGTCCCCACTCTTCCACCCACATGCCACTCGGAAAACATTTGCTCGGCTCTCACCAGCACCAGGCAACTCCTGTCGGCCAGTGGGGACCGGGACAGCAGGATGGGGAGGCAGACAGGTGAGCAGGTGTCACAGAACAGTGTGGGTGGTCCCAACACAGCACACACATCCCCAACACGCCCCCACCTATGCACATGTATGTACACAGGTGTGTCTCCATTCCTCTGTCACACACACACCCCAATAAGTAGCAAAGCTAGGATTTGAACCCTTCTCTGTGTCACCACGAAGATCATGTGCTTAACTACGACACCATCTGCCTTCTCAATACCTCCTCTTCAAGGTTCCTGTGCAGATTCAGTGCAGCCGTGTTCTTCCCCATCGCGTCATTTGTCATTCACTGTTTCATATGACACTTCCCTTTAAAATGTCTCTCCTCCATCAACTCCAAGTGCCAAGGGCAGGGACAGTATCTTCTTCAACTGTCCCCAACACAGCTTTCCAGCCCACCATGGCACAGAGTAGGTGCTTAATACAGAGGAAGCGTGACAGTGAATCCTCCAATTCTGTGGCGTGCCCCCACTGTCTGCCTCCCGTTACCCGCCTCAGCCTCCCCTGACATCTGATGGCCGCTCTCCCCACCGCCCCTGCAGGCCATCCTGACACACATGCGCGTGGAGTGCAAGTGCCACGGGGTGTCGGGCTCCTGCGAGGTGAAGACGTGCTGGCGAGCCGTGCCACCCTTCCGCCAGGTGGGCCACGCGCTGAAGGAGAAGTTTGATGGCGCCACCGAGGTGGAGCCACGCCGTGTGGGCTCCTCCCGGGCGCTGGTGCCGCGCAATGCACAGTTCAAGCCGCACACGGACGAGGACCTGGTCTACCTGGAGCCCAGCCCAGACTTCTGCGAGCAGGATGTGCGCAGCGGCGTGCTGGGCACGAGGGGCCGCACCTGCAACAAGACGTCCAAGGCCATCGACGGCTGCGAGCTGCTGTGCTGCGGCCGCGGTTTCCACACAGCACAGGTAGAGCTGGCTGAGCGCTGCAGCTGCAAGTTCCACTGGTGCTGCTTCGTCAAGTGCCGGCAGTGCCAGCGGCTCGTGGAGCTGCACACATGCCGGTGACTGCCGCCCCGCCCTGTGCCCAGCAACCACCTAGTGGCCCAGGGAAGGCCGATAATTTAAAGAGTCCCCCACCACCTACCCCAAAAGATACTGGTTGTATTTTTTGTTTTGGTTTGGTTTTTGGGTCCTCATGTTATTTATTGCCGAAACCAGGCAGGCAACCCCAAGGGCACCAACCGAGGCCTCCTTGAAGCCTGGGCCTTTGTGGCTGCCACTGACCAAAGGGACCTTGCTCATGCCTCTGGCTGTCCACATGTGGCCGCTGCTGACCACTCAGTTGTTATCTGTACCCATTTTTCTATTTGCAGACTTAAGGTGGGTAACAAGGAGTGTTACAGCCACATGCCTCCTGACCCTGCCATCTAGGGAAAGAGGTGGCCCTATGGCAGGGAAAATCAGTGCCACCTTGATGCAAGTTACACCCCCACACATACACACTGACCCCTGGCAGCTTCAGCCTGGTAGCCTTGTCTCTCAAGACCCCTGGAAAGGGAATGGGCAGATACCAGGTCAAGGGCAAAGGGTTCATTTCAGCCCTCCATGAGCCGCTGGAGGTTCAATCTCTGTGGGACCTCCCAGGCAGGAAGAGCAGGTGAGAGGAGGGCAAGAGAAGGCTACAGTCCCACCCCAGAGCCCAGCCTGTCCAGCCTCCCCCTCAAAGAGGGAACCCCCCCCTCCCCGGTCCTCCAGGCAGGAGTATAGGCTGCCAATCCAAGATCAGAGACCCAGCTGGGCCTCTGCAGTGACGCCTCCTGTGTCTCCTCCACACAGTGTTGCTCCTCTGTGAAACTAAGAATGGAAATCACACACACATAGGAAAGGCCGTGTAAAAAAACCCTCTCCCAACCATTATTTCACTCACTTAACCAAATTTATTGAGCAAATACTATGTTCTAGGCCCTGTACTGGGCTGTCTCACTGGATGATCACAACAGTCCTGGGATGCTTGTGCCCATTTTACAGCAGAGAGGGCAATGCTGAGCGGGGTCCCAGAGGAAGCTGGATGCAGAGGCAGAGCCAGAAGAGCCCTCCAGGCAAGGCTCCTCCTGGATTCCTGTACCCAAAGCCCCAGAAACTGCAGGTCTCTTTGGGTCTGAGCCTTGGGGAAGGGGCTCTGGCCGGAGGAAGAGGGGCCGGGAAGCAGCAGGAGCCACAGACCACAGGCTGAGCTAGAGCTCATATGGTTCCTGAGGGCAGAGCAGGCCCTGAGGGAAGAGTGGACAGCTGGAAGGCTGACGAAGTAAGGTCTCAACAGCTGAGGCACCCCTGCCCCCAGGTACCATGGGTACTGAAGAAGAGGCCCCCAGAGGCAGCACCAGCAGCCCGGGCCTGGCCCTGTGCACCAGTCAAACCATCAGGAGCCCAGCCCAAACTTCTATGAGCAGGACACTCACACAGCAAGACCTGGCCTGACCCAAGTGCTTCTTAGCTGGGTTCCCCACCACCAGAGGAACTCACTGTCAGCCCAGTCTCCAAGCTGCCCCCACACTGGGGCTTTAGGCTCCTGGCTTGAGGTCTTGAGCTCTGGGATCCCCACTGGAGGTTCTCAGACCCCAAGATTTGGGCTCCAAGGTTCAGTGTCTGAATTCAAGTCCCAGATTCAGAATATGGGTTCCAGACTATAGAAGCTCTCCTCCAGGCCTTGTGGTTTGTGCCTCCTGGTGTTGGCTCCCTCAGGAAGAAAGGGTCAACACCCTTGGCCCCCAGCCAAACTCTCTGCTCAATGTCCATCCAAGAAGAAGGCCAAAACCAAGTGAGATGCTGGAGCCACATTTGAATGTGGGGATCATCTTGGGGCAGGCAGGCTCTGACGTGGATGAAAGCTGAGCCGACAAGGTGTCCCCACAGCTGCCCAGCTGGGCTCACTGCTCCTCTGGTGGGCTCTGTTCAGCAGTCTGCTCAGTGCCAGGGAAAATACTATCCCTCACTGGGAGAGGTTAGACCCCTCCCCCTCCCGAGACAGGGCTGAGCCACTCTCCTCCACCCCAAGTTCTGTCCCCAGAGCCAGAGGAATAGGAGGTCTAGGCTGGATGCTCGTATGATGGGTACTGCCCCAGGAAGAAGTGAGAGGGTCTGTGCCTGTTCATAGGCTTCACCTTTTCACCTGCCAGGGGGCTCCTCAAAGCTGATCCTCCTGGGGTTCTGAAGGGTGTAACCTCAGTAAAGCAGACTAGATTCTAGGAATCTCTGCCCAGTCCTACCACCATCAGGACCCCAAAGGCGAAAGGGATCCACAGCCCAGGAAAATGGAGCTTCCTTGGACATGCCCCCTCCAAACTGTGCCAAATAGAGAGGAAGAACCAGCACAGGCCTGACATAGCCCACACACTCTGGAAGCTGGCCAGAGGGTCCAAGTCCTGCCCGAAACCTTCTCCACTAGTCTTGCCACAAAGGAAAGGTGATGTCCTCTGAGGCCTAGGGTTGAATCAGCCCCAGCTCTGGATGCTGCTACCCCTCTGCTGCCCCCACCCCATCCTCCAATTTTTATACTAGGCTCCTTGCCATTGTGACATCCCCACGAAATAGTCTGATGCACGATAAAATGATTATTTCTTTATCTTGCAATTGTGGCAGTGACTTTATTTACAGAAGAGAGAGAAGACAGACTTGGGGAAGGACACGGGGAAAGCAGTAGTATATTATAGTAGCAAATTCTAGATACGGGGACCCTCTTTGCCCTCTTTCCTTCTGAATAACTGGTTTGATGGCCACGAGGCAAGGGCCCCCCTATATGCTATCTGGAATTCACCTTTAACACATAGAAGCTATTATCTGCATTCCACTGAGCCATGGTCAGCTATTTAACCCTTGGCCTGAGCCAAGGCCTCAGAACCCTTCGTGAGCGCTGATGTGGAAAGGAGGGATGGGCCGGCCCCGTGGCTTAGCGGTTAAGTGCGTGCGCTCCGCTGCTGGCGGCCCGTGTTCGGATCCCGGGCGCGCACCGATGCACCGCTTCTCCGGCCGTGCTGAGGCCGCGTCCCACATGCAGCAACTAGAAGGATGTGCAACTATGACATACAACTATCTACTGGGGCTTTGGGTGAAAAAAAAAGGAGGAGGATTGGCAATAGATGTTAGCTCAGGGCTGATCTCACAAACAAAAAAAAAAAAGGAGAGATGAATACCATGACAGAGGAGGGACTGGTGAAGGGTCCCAATTGAGACGGTAGAAGACAAATGGAAAAGAACTTAGTTCCTGCCCAAAGACACACGGATCCAAGGCCTGTGGCTAGAAGTAAACTCCAGGATTGGAGCCCAGTCAGGATGAGGAGTCTGGATGGAAAACTCCATATAACTCGAGTCACAGCTGATGGGGAGACCCAAGGTAGCTTCTCAGGAAGCTCGGTCTAATGGATTCAGTCCTCATCCGTACCAAGGGGGCCATGGCCTGTCCCCCCGCCCCCACTGAAGCAAATCCACACCAGCCTGGGAACAGTTAGGCTGCTATGTGCTTGGCTTTCCAAGAGTGTAGCGGGGTATAAAAGGGCTAAAGCAAAGTGCTTTCAAGACAGCAGGGGTACACAGGAATTTGTGAAGAATTGGGGAGGGGATAATAGACAGAGGAAGGGGAGGGGTCTAGAGTACAGGTGGATAGAAAAGGATATCTCATCCTCAAATCAGGGTCAAAGGCAGAGAGAAGGGGATATAGAGGGGCAATATGGAGGGTCCAAGATGGCAGAGTGAAGAGGTGAAGGTGTCCATGCCCAACGATTTTCTAGAACTGTGGAAAGGACCCAGGCTTTGCAATCAGACAGACCTGAGCTGGAATCCCAGGACTGCCACTTCTTCACTATATAGCACCTTGGACAACTCACTGCCCCTCTCTGGGATTCATTCTCTTCATTCATAATACAGGGATGCTCCCCCTGCCCCAACTTCAAATGGGGCTAAATAATAATAGAACTTACTTCTTGGGGATGCTAAATAAAATATGTAAAGCTCAACAAATGACAGCTATTACTAGAAATATTATTATTCCCTTTTCAGGAACATAGGAGGCAGTTAAAGTAGCTCTAAGACTGAGGGAGCCAGGAGGGAGGATGAAACAAGAAAGAAAGCAAAGACAGTGTGGGATCGCTTAGGGGCTGAAGGCAGGTGTCCCAAGACTGTGGTCCCACTTTGGCCCCGTCCCAGAGATCAGAAGCAGGCAGATGTCTCAAGGCAGAGATCCCCAGGCAGGAGACAGAGAATCCCAGGGCCAATATACCCAGGCGGCAGCAAGCAAGGCAGTGGCAAAGCTGCCCTTAGGCACTAGTAGGAGAGGCTGAGCCAAGGTCCCAGTGTGGGCAAGAAGCAGGGCTGGGGCAAGGAGGGGGGCCAAGGAGGGCACAGTCAGAAGTGGACGGGGGAATGTCAGAGCTGTAGGAAGCCTATGTAGTGGGGCCCAGGGGGCTCCGCTTGTGACAACAGAAGGCTTTCAGGACTCCCAGGCCGGGTCAGCTCGCAGAGAGGCTGTGTCCAGATCCATCCCTGACAGCTGCCCTCAGAGCTCAGGCCTGAAGATCTCTGGGAAGGTTGTGAAGCCATGTGATAAACTGGACCTCCTTCTCAGCCCCTTCTTGACAGCCAGTGGTCCAAGGGAAGTCTGGGGAGACCAGAGGCAGGATTTAAGATGAAGCTTAGGCCAAGGAAGAGCCAGAGAACACAGGAAAACAGAGGGCAGAAGAAAGTACAGGGTTCTGGGCAACTGAGAGGGGCTAAGACAGGCTGAGCAACAGAGTGAGGAAAAGGCAGAGGGTGGGAGGACAGACACAGGAACAGAGAGAGACATTAAGAAGAAAGGAAGGAAGGCACTAAGGAACTGAGGGCATCTGGGCAGAGGAGCCCAGCAGCTTCCTAGGAAGAGGAGAAAGTGCTGAGCTTCAGGAGAAGACATCTGACTCAAAAGGGGCAGGCGGGCTGGGGGGGGGGGTGGTATGTCTAAGGGATGTGGGGGAGGGGGATGAAGTGTGGAATGGCCTGGCCCAGGCGATGACTTCATAGGCATCTCCCCCAACTCCTTCCTGAGCCGCCAGCCCTGGTGACCCCCTGCCCGCATCTCAAAGGTCTAGGCCAAGCAGGCGCTGACAGGGGAGAGAAGGGGCCCTTCTGGGGCAGACCCCCAAGCCTGGCATAGTGCCTGCTGGGGAGGAGGGGCCTAGAGGCCCAGCCCTTGTCAGCATCCCCGGCCGGCACTTCGGAGGCAATTAGCAGCCCAGCTGAGCTAATCCCCCGCCTGGTGAGGCCAACACAAACAGGCCCAGGCCGGGTGCACACTCGCCTCCCTGTTTGCTGAGGGGCCCGGTGGTCCGCCAAGAACAACACCAATAACCTGGGGCCTTCTCTAGGTTAAGAGGAGGACCAGGGCTTGCTGAAGGGCTGACAGTGCCCGACAGAGCATACTCTGGCCAGGTGCCCTGGCCGCCCCAGAAAGGCAGCCACTGTTCCCAAGCCTCGGGCCAGCCAGGAAGAGGAAGCTGGACACAAAGAGCCATATACTCTGATTCAGCACCCACTCCCACCCCCAACCATGCCACCTGTGATGGAGAAGGGCCAACTCAGGCTTGTGTTGCCCTGGCCAGCCCAACAACTGAGGCCAAGAGGGGCTGAGCTCTCTGGTCAGGACCCAAGGATTACAGGCTCCCTGCTGGACATGGGAGCCCAGAGAAAACTCAGACCTGACCCTGCCCTCAAGGGGCTCACAGTCTAGTGAGGGAACAGACTGTGT